TGTATAAACCCGGGAATTGTGGCATTCCTGCTGCCTTGCCTGCCCACTGCTTTTCATGAGAGCTGATCAGGACCCAGGGAAGTAAAGTCTGAATAAGAGCTTATGATGTGGTTGAAAAACCCCCACTATATTCTCATTTCAGGAGCTTAGTTACAAGATCACTCTTTGTGGCATACATCTGTGATGATACATACCCAGAGCTCCACTGACTTTGTCAGAGAAACGGTCAGTGTTCAAGAAATGCAGCCCAAGGAAAACCTCTGGAAACTTCATAAGGGTAATTTCTACTGTGACTGTATCAGACAATGATGCTGTAACGCTCCTTTCCTTTTCAACTGAGATGCTCAGCCTGGGGAGTTAATTATGACATTATTTCCCAGAAGAAAATGAAGAAACAATCTGTATTTAGCTAGACATTCATTAATTAAAATAATGTATGTATTGTGTTGTCTTGCAATGCGTTTTTCATGATCTGTTGGTAATTATTTTTAAGCTGGAAAACATTAAGTGGCATATCTTTTCTCTCCATGCTGCACAACAGATCTTTTCCATATCAGGTTACACACAAATACACCAGAGAAAAACTTGTTGCTGATGAAAACACCTTATTATCCATAATGACAAGAAATACTTGAATGGAAAAAAAAGAGTATTTTTCATCATTTTAATGAGACCAGATAAAAGAATTCAATCTATTTTATGAACAAGTTTAATACTTTTTCCTTGGTTATTTCACAGTTTTTTTCAGGCCCTGCCTTTCTTCTAAGCCATTCATTTTCTTTTGACCCAGGTGGGCTTGCAGCACACACACATCCGCTGCAGTTTTCTCCCCTGCAGACCAGGTTAGACACAAACACCCCCACATGTGCTGGTGTACAAAGCGCTGCGGTTGCAAAGGTGCTGGTTTGAAGCAGGAGGATCATTCTGCTTGGCAGACAACAAACTATAGAGAGGCATAAACCCAGCATGTTCTTGGCTCCATTTGGATTACAAAAATAATTGAAAGCAGCTGGTTTAGGACTTCTGTTATTGTCTTCAGTGGCCTGTAAGGGAGGGAGTGCTGTGTGTCCTGTCTGCCCCACACCACCAGCAGATCCCCCCAGAAGTTTCTTCCAGCAATGCAAAAAGCTGGTGAAACTAGTTACATTCTGCTCTTTCTTGTGGTAGTGAAGGATCCTGCTCTAATCAGTCCAACAATAAATTCTACATCTAAAGTACTCTCTCTCCAACAGTGGGCATTTAGTTACAGACAGCTATTCAAACACTTTGTGCCTTCCCATAAAAAATGTCAGCTGCCCAGATGTGAGTTATTGATAAAAAACTGAGCAGAAAATAACCACCCTTCAGCCTGTGTGGAGCCAACTGATGTATAAAAGAGGCAGTGAATGTCAAAGCCACCACTTTGCTGCACTCGCTCTGCAGCTGGAGGAACACAGAGTGTCTGGTGGCATCTGGCATGGCAGCGGCACGGAGGCTGCTATGTGCCACAGCGGGTCCTTTACTTTGGAAGATAAATGTTCTGCCTCTGATGACAAAGCAGAAAGGCAGGCTAAAGGTGCAGTTATTTGGATTCTATTACACATGCATAGAGAATTAAAATTAAGCCTTTTTTGTTCTCTGTATTTGAAATACAGGATTGTGAAGGTACCCTGCTTCCACTCACGATGAGTTACTCACCAGATAGGACATTTGTAAGCACTTACTTGAAGCAAACATGAAAGCAGAGGCCTGGATGAAGAAAGATCTGACGCACTGTCAAGTCTGGGAAAGGACTGGGTGACGTTTCTTACCCCTGGATGGTGGAGGTGGTCGACTCTGTCCATGGCAGCTGAGTGCTCTCATTATTGTGGCTTAGGACAATTGCATCTGTAGAGATGTGGATTTGGGCGGGGGGATTCACATAGTTGATTTCAAACTGTACGAAGTGATTTGTTCTGTCTCCAAGTTTCCCCATCACAGTGAGTCCTTTATTAACATGAACAAAAAATTGTCAAATGACTGTGCTTTTAAGGTATGAGTGATCTCAATAAAGCTGCTTCAGCTTTGTTGCTGAAACAAGTTCAGGGTCTCAAACCTAGTTCTGGGAGGCACAGTACCACAGGCTTCAGCTCCATGTGCCCCAAGGCTGTGGTGGGGTCACCAGAGTCCATGGCCCTTCTGAGTACAGGACCACAGGAAAACTACAGTGTGTTAAGAGCATGCATCTTTCCATTAGCAGGCAGGAACCACAGGGCTTAAGGTCTCTAAATCCTCAAAAGCCCTCAAGGGCTGGGCAGCAGAAAACCCTGAAGACCATGGCTGTGACACCAGGAGAAGGAGGTGACCGCCAACCAGACCTATGAGAAGTGCCCTCAGCTGTTGCACAGTGGAAGTTAATACTGCCTAATAGAAGGGAAAACTTAACCACAGCCTCTTTAGTCACTGCAAGGTAGCAGGTGTGAAATGGTCCTTCACAAAAGGGGGTGATTCCCAAGGAGACCAACTACTCTCATAGACCAAAGTGACTCTCCTTGTACTTGATATCAAGGGTAATCGGTCTCACTCACCTTGCTCCGGATCTGACAGCAGGTGGAGAGAGGGCTGTGCTTTTCCATCAGTATTTAAACAGATTATTTCATCTTGTTTGGGTAATTGCAAGATAAACTCTGGATATTCATTGACTGAAAAGCCAGAAGAACAATGTTAGCATGCAAAGAAAAGTCCGGCCTGCACCCTTTGGATATGTACAGCAAAATTACATAATCAATTCATACCTACAATACTAGTTTTAACTTTTACATAATAGAATTATTAAAATCAACATAGTAATGATTATCGAAAAGCACACCCAGGCACAGCACCTTGGTATGAATGAAAACAATAGATTTTTAAATTTAGAGTGTATTAAAGTCAATGAGCTCTTAAAAAAGCCAAGGTTGAAGATATGTTATACTGCATTTCTGTTGGTGGTTATATCCCTGTGCCAGAGAGGCTTTCTCATGGGACATTTTTCACTTATGCAGAAAGAATTAGCCAAGGTTTGCATGAAGAGGTAAAGGATTTTTCATAGAGTTGATAAAGTCAGAAAAAAAAATTAGATGAAAAACTGCACATTGCAGTCACATTAATTATTACAAAAGGACTAGTATATCCATTACTTACCAAGAGGTTGTGCTCTCATTTTTTTTCTTTGCCTGGCAACTGAAATATTTAAAATTATTACAATATTAATAATAACTTCTTATTAAGAAGAGTTTATTAATTCTTCATAGTAAGAGGAGTTTAATAAACATTTTTCTTTAAGTTGGCTAATTCACCAGGAAGAATACTATGACAGAAGCCTTTTCAGCAGAGCTCTTCACTGACTTCTACGGAGAGCTTTGTTTAAAACAAGATGTACCAATGGTGAAAAAAAGCACAACATCCAATGCCTGTTTCTCATAGGATCAACACTGGGGCATGCCCAGCCTGAGCTGTGGGAGGGTTTAGAGCTGTGTTTTTAACAGCCACTACATTGAACCCAGCACACCCACCCCAGCTCCTCTTGCACACGACTGTGAATAACTACCTACTGACAACAGCTTCTTGTTGCTGCCAGATTGGGGCTCAGAGCGCCATCGACCTGAAATAAAAGGTTTTTCCAATGTTTGGTTGGTTTGGGGCCATACCTTGCATCTCCCTCCCCACCCTTTAAAACAGGGAATCCCCCCGTTCATTGCCCACTGCCTTTTTTGGATACAGCCACTTGTGCACATGTGCGGATCCTACACGGGACAGCAGCCAGCACAGGCTCTGTGCTATGGGAGCTCGTGGAGATGTCGAGCTCTGCCTGCAGTGCCCTGGGACTTCCTTGTTGCAGGACAGGCATTGCCATCGTGCCCCATACTGGCTGCACACAGCAAACCCCAGGACTGGTAAACATTATTTTTTTGACACCCATTTCTTTCATAGAATCACAGAATGGTTTGGGTTGGAAAGGACCTTAAGATCATCTAGTTCCAACTCCCCTGCCATGGGCAGGGGTGCCTCACACTAGACCATGTTGCCCAAGGCTCTGTCCAGCTTACTAATATGCGCTTTTCTGGATCTTTTACATTTATTTTCAGGAGCTATAATAATTCTTTTATTTCTGAAAAAGGACCAGATTGTTTCCCTGAAAAGGGACCAAGATTGTTTTCAAAAGTTTATAGTTAATTATAAAATATCTGCAGACTGAAATACATATAATAAAACCCAACTGTATATCAAGTAGGCATCCACAATCAAAATGTATTTATTAAAGTAATATTGCTATCAACTTACTTATTAAATGAACTTTATACAATTATTCTGAATAAAAACAAAGGAGAAGCACTTACTAGGAAATGATACACTCCTCAGTTTATAAGCATCTGGAGGAAGAAAAGAGAGTATCTGTATTTTATCCATGGTTGTATTACATACCTTATGGGACTGTTTCAAATATGTAATCTGTAATTCTCCAGCTGCCTTCCTTTCCCAAAGCAAGCTATCTGCAGTAATGAAGTCCACAGAACATTAGCACTAATACCTGGAAAATATTTCCAGCCAAAGGATGGAAATGGGCAAAAGCTACTAAGAACTTTGTAAGGAAAGGATTAGCAAAAAGGAATTTGGTTGCCTGCAATATGCCTGGTCCATCACTCGCCTTGCACATGGGGATGGGGGTGGGGAGGGGGGAGTGGTGGTGCCTGAGCAGGGCAGGAAAGTCACTGGGCCATGCTTCTGGTCAGGGAGTTTTCTGCTATAAAATTCCCTAGTGCCACTTTGAAACACGTTATGTTCAGAGAAGAGAGTTGCATAGTAACACCCTTAGTAGGTTACTGTGATAGAACTAGAGCAAAACCAGGGCTTCTCACCTATAACAGCATTGCCATTATGATATATTATCATAGCTGAGATTATCAGATTAATTATGCTTGAAGTTTAAAATTCATAGTCAAACAGATCTATTATTTCCAGAAAGAGAGAAAGACATTCACATAAATCATCCTAAGAAGTCATTCCAAAATATCCTGAGCTTAATTTTTTGACAGATGCTTCGCACACAGTAGGAAGAAGCAGAAACATCATTGGCACCATTCACTTGAGGAACTACTTATCCTCATAAGTAAAGACAATTTTGACCTTCCAGACTTTCTGATTGGAAGATTTTCTCCTTTTGGCCATGTTATCCACCCAAACCCCAGACAGACCTTGGCAGTCATTGCTTATGTTTTGCTTCACGTATTTTTCTAAATCTCAGATAATTCCCTCTATAAACAAACACCACGAGCTTTTTTTTGGTTTATTTCATTAGAGACTATTATGGAAAAACACTACTGGAAAAAGAAGAAAACATTTACCTCCTACTGGAACACTGCTGAGCTTCTCATTATCTAACATAAAGAAAGGAAAAGATTAGTGTCATAGTCAACAGTGAATTACTTTACTCATGTGCAAAGCAGAAAACTGGGAGAAGTGGGTGCTGGGCTTCAGGAGATGAGCTTTTTTTTGTGTTAAAGGTAGACAGAGCACTTCCAAGTGGTGACATGCTTCCCTCCCCTGCATTCATTTTTCTACTTTAATGCTACAGAGAAATAATGCTGAGTAACAACTGTTAAATTACTTTTAGTTAATATTTACACAAATTATTTTCCATTTCAACAGCAGTGCCCATTTCACCACTTCACCTTTTAAAACAAATCCTGTATGTTTTATCTGAAAGGATGCTAACCCTTAATTCCTGCTTCCAATGCAGGTTATTACTGTGTTACATCACTATAAAATGAACCTATACTGGAGGTCAACTACAAATCCTCAATAACAGCATATTTCAAGGGGTCTGTTTAATGCCCCATTTACCAGCTTCGGTGGGTTTGTTTGCCAGGTCTGTCTGGTCTTGATCAGCTGGTTTGGTGACCACCATGGAAGTGAGGGGTGTAACAAAGCTGTACCGCAGAGACAGCTCTAACACTTGAGCCTCCAGGGTTTTCTGGTCCTCTTCTTGTGCTGAAATACTGTGTTAATGATGAAGAAATAACATATAGAGACTATGAGCAGATCAGCTTCAGCTTCTTTTTCATATTCATATCATCTATTTCACAGTAACGTCAAGAAGAATACTCCATATTACATTTTCATATGTGTATATACATTTATATGCACACATTCAATGATGTAGGGCTGTCATAAACTGAAAGGCACCTCATGTTCCTCATGCAGTCACGAAGTATTCTTCCAGTGTACTATGCTTTTAATACTATCTGCAGAAATATTTCTTGGTGGTGTTTTCATTTGCATTTTAAGTTAAAAATTTGTAATAGGAAATATGATGACAGCTTACGATTTTTCCAGCAGCTGTTGAATGGTTAAGTAAGCCCACAGTCTCTCTATGAAATTTCCAAAGATGTAGCTTTGATTTTGAAATACTTGCTCCTTCTCTTTGACATTTGCTTCTTCTTTAAGAGTCAAGTCACTAGAATGCTAAAGTGGGAGAAAACTGGCCGTCAAAAGAAGAGTTGCATGTTTCTTTTATAATCACATCATTAGACTTCAAATAATGTCTTTCAGTACCAAAGTGTCCTTTTTGTCCTTCAATTTTGTCCTTTCCCATTGGAAAATGGAACTCCAAACTACCAAAGCAGCATGTATTTTGGATCTGTATTTATGGGTGTGAAAGTGTTGAAAAAAGGAGGTAGTGAAATTGTTCTATTTCATTATTTTTGAGATTAATAACTCATATGTCCTTCTTCATTCTAAAAATACAAACCAGTTTCCTAAAAATGCTTGAAAGGCCAAAATATTATAGTTTTGAAAGGATTAAAATTACTGTTTTCTTACTTGTGGATATACTTCAAGGTTTTTATTTTGTAGCAAATTCAGAAGAACATCGTTTGAATTCTCAAATATTTTCCCCAGAAGGGAAAGCAGCAGAATGCTCAAATGCAAAGAACGTACCTTGCACACAAAAGACTTCCTGAAGTCTCATACTGCACCATAAAAGACAGAAGGGTTGTAAATTTTTCACAGTTAGTAAACTAAGCACTTACTGACTGAGCTTTAATTTCTACTGGCAAAAGATCAAGCTCATTGCTAATTTTTCCAGATACAATAATTTCAGATCCTTCAAAAAACAGCTTGAAATCATTCTTGGTTAATCCCTCAATGGCATTTTCTGGATACTGCATTTCAATTTTCTTCAATATTGGGGTAGCCACCTCTTGATAAAACCCCTAAAGAGAAGCAGAGAGAGAGAGAGTGCACAAATGGCTGCAAAATTATGCAAAACAATATATTGAATGTCTAAAACCCCCTTAAAAAGAAGGGACCAAAGCTTTTTCTTCTGCAGTGTAAGACTGCTGCTAGAAAAAAACCATACATATTTCTTCCCAAGGTTCAGCATGTGATATGTGAAGCTTTGTTCATCAGAAAGCAACCTAACAATGTATAACTGAACTCCTATTGTGTAACCCTATAAGATGTTATTCGAAATTCTGTATAGCCAACATGCGGAATTGGCAGAGATAAGATAACTACAGACATCCGGGATAAGAAACTTGAAAAACTAGATAGCAGGTTAATGAGGAAGATAACTTGCCTTCCTCCCCGCAGCCACTGAGGAGCAGAATTCGCCCTCCAGCAACAAGCCCCCTGCGCAGAGAAAGAATGGAAAAGAACACGTACACCGGAAGGGAAAGAAGTATAAAAGGCAGAACCTACAAGGAGGAAGCGCGCGCCGAGGCAGAGTAGAAACTCTCTGGCCACCCAGTGCTGTATTTTATCTGCTATCGCTTGCTCAGATTGAATTAAAGATTGGACGAATGACAAGATTGGCCTTTGAAATTTATAACAAGCACACCTTCTCCAACCAGACTGGAGATGCCATATAAACATTTTTCATAGTAATTCAAATATCCAAGCAGGATCCCCATCCCATTCAGTCAGGTGTTCTGCTTTAGCCCTTTTAAAATCTGATTTTTTTTAAACTTGACTTATCCTGAGGATGAACCTTTCTCCTTTCGGACTGGGGCTGGCATGAAGAAAATCTAGTCTCTGCACATCCAGGCAAAACAGGTAGAAGTGGCTTCCCAAAAAAGAGAACATCTTAGAAGTTATAACCCCTCTCCAAATGGACAGGAAAGATCCAGCCTGGTGGTACTGCAGAGCCAGTTTGCCTGTATGTGCCTTGGCCTGCCTGCTGAGTTTCAGGGAAACCATGACAAACAGTTTCCAATGGTGGTGCTTCAAGGGGTTTGAAATAGGATCCAAGAATAGGCGTTTTCTCACCATCATCTCCCTTGGACAATTGTTCTTGTTTGCAGAGGTACTGAAATGTGTGAGTTCCCAGGTTTGTCCAAACACAGTGATATGAGGAGGACTTCACCTCTGAGTCATGGTTAGGGTACAAACCCCCAGATGCTCCCAAACTGCCTTCCTCCCTCCCCAAAATCATCAGATAAACTAAAACCCAACTCTTTATCTCAGAAAATACTCCAAGACTAGACATAAGCAATAGCTGATAGACCTTTTTTCTGGCATATTCCTTAGTACTGACCTGGAGCTGCAAGGCTGCATCAGCATTTTCATATATACGACGTGCTATTCCCCCATTGCTTAGGGCCATTTTCTCCAGGAACTTATAACTGACATCAAACCCAAAGCCAAGGCAGAAGAGAGCATATTTCCCATTGACTGCTTTCTTAATATTTTCTTGAATAACTTCCACATTACTCTCACCTGGAATTGAAACAAAAACATACACTTGTTTGGTTGGGGGTTTTAAAAGTAGGAAAAGACAGTAGCAGGTTTAATGGAAAACTCTGCTTAAAGCCTTTTAAAAATTATTCAGAATAAAATCTTAAAAATATATGGGATCGAATTCCAGTAATTGAGTTGGAGATGAAAGCATCATTCTGCATATGGAGTGCCAGAACCTCATTCCCTCTCTTAATGACTTTTACTAACTCCTACTCATGTTGTCATGAGTAAGTGAAAAATATTTTACAAGATTATGGGGGCCAGAGGAGGTTTTTAGGACAAAAGGGACACACTATACAAATTAACAGAGCAAGGGATGGAAACACTTGATCAAGCATTGGGAAGACAAGTACCATCCATAAAAATTATGCGCATCAATTCAGAGAAGAATGGACTGGTTAATGGTGTAATTCACACAAACTGCAAATTAACTCAGCCATGCTCCTCTCCCAGCCCTTTTGCTTGACAAAGGGAAAAGATTTTCACACCATCATCTCATCCCATTTGAAGAGCCACTGATGGCCCTGTATGGAGAGCTTCTCTATCAGTATTTCCATGCAGGAACTACCTATAGCAGTATTACGGGAGCGGCTCAGATTTTTCCCTTTCAGCCTGCTTTGCCAAGGAAGGCAGTGTATGCATTAATGCTGCGTGTGTTCAGCTGGCACTCCACCCTGGCCTGATTTCTAGCCAGCTTGTGGATGTGTGATGTGCTTGGGGATATTTGAGACTCACTGTGGCTGTGCTGAGTACGCAGCACCATAAGGTGAATTATATTCAGCAAAAAACCCCAAACAAATAAACTGACCCCAAAACAGTAAGGATCACGCGATGTGAAAGGCACACTGATCTTATTAGAAGGCTTACAGCTGAATTAATATTTCTGGTCTCGAAGAGATACTGGTTGCCACACAAAACTTGGACCAGCTCCTGTTCAGAACAAGTGATGTTTGTGCCATTGCATTGCAAGTTACTATTTGTTTAATGCAATGTTTCTATCTCAATCCTCTGGTTTGTGCTATCATAGCTAATCAGTAGCTAAGAGCTAGACATGGAAAAGAATATAAAACAAGAGACACCTTGAAAATATCTCAAGAATATATCTCACAGATCCAGAAATGACCCAGCCTGCTTATAACAAAGCTCTTCTGAAGCACAGGCTATGTCTACTAAGCTGGGATGCAAGTGTACAAGATATGACAAATCCAGGAGAGAAAGGACTGAGCTGGTATTTACCCACCAGAAGTGGGCTGGCCGTCTGTCAGCAAAATTATCATGGAGACACTCCGTTCCGGCAGCCCCTCGTCTTTTTCCAGCCCACTCACAGCCGTCTGCAGGGCACGATTGATATCTGTGCCTATAATGAGAAAGCAAGCATCACTCACCTGGAAAGATCACCATCTAAAGAAATCAGTGCATTTTATCCACACAGGTCCTGCAGAGCTGTTTAAAGTTTTCTGCAGGAAGTAATCCTTCAGAGAGATGAGGATTTAGGTCTTCAACCTACTAGGCTTAATTACGGTGTATTATATTGCAGTGGCAATCGTGGAGTACTCTTTTGGGATCATTTTCTACACATATGTCATGGGAAATACAAACATGTCTAGAGCCATTAGAAAGTGCTTAAATAAACACACTGTCATCTGTCAACCCACATTTAAGAACTGTCTCCTAGCCTTATTTGAGGAGTCAAAGAAAAGAGCTGGGCACAAATGGCTTTGTTGCTGTTCACACTTGGGATAAAAAACCCTACATAAATGCCAACAGCATAACATTAACAGGTGATAGAGCCTTTAGATGTGCTTAAAACTAAACGAAACAGAGCACGAGTGATGCAGCAATTGAAATGCTTCATGCCTATTTTGACTGGTTTGTTACTGTAGTGTGGCTTACACAGGAGTACAGCTTTAGATGTATTTTATTTTACAATGAGACCATTTATATTAAAAAAAAACAAATCAGCAAATTGTTGTCAAATGTTGAATGAATTGCCATTTTCCTGTAGGAGAAAAAGGTACTATGGGGAAATCTTCCAGCCACCTCTGTTATAAAAATCTGAAACAAAATATTGTGGCTTGTACGTTTCATAGATCTGATACAACTGTCTCTCTCTATCCATATCATAATTTAGTCACCAATCTGCCCACTCCCATGACCAGTCTTTCTCTCCCACTCTAAGTATCAAATACTTACTTGCTTTGTGAGCACTGATAGTAACTGTGTGCCAGTATACGATTAATAAAAATACTTGTTTTCTAAGCAACATATTATGTTGGGTGCATGTTTGTGGTTAAAAGCATCTAGGTGGTGCCTTGTACCTCCACTAGCAGAAAGAGTTTGCACAAATCCTGCAGCACTCGCCACGTTCTCTGCAGTGGCTGGCAGCAAAGAGCTCTTCCACTCCACCACTTTGCTGTTAAAGGTGATAAAGCCGAAATGATCTTCTGGGCGGAGGTCTTTCAAAATCTTCAACAGGGCATCTCTCGTCTGCTCCAAGGAGAAAACAATCACTTTGAATATTACTACTTCTGTGCCAGAACCAGGATTGGAATTGCTGTGTAATAAGGCAGTTTCTCAACAGCACTATTTGAGATGCAGCCCAATGCTCTTATGTAGTCCTAATGGCATTTTTCAGATTGAGACCACCAGAAGTGGCTGATTCACTTAACTTACAGACAGAAGGAAACACCTATGAGGGCTGTAGTGGGCTTGTTTGCTCTCCAGCAAAGCTACATGCACAGTCATCAAGAGAGGTAAACCAGACAAATGGATTCTTTAAAATCAATTAAGAAAAAAAAAATTAGAAGCAAAATATTCTGCAAAGATACAGAAAAGTTGCTCTCTGCCTTACTGTTTGATACTTGTAAGAAGAGCCGTATCAGAAAACTATTGCTCTTTAATAGCCGAAATCTGCACACACGTATTTTCAAGCATTTCTCTATGTCTGAAAATGTTGCTGTGTGTACAAAACCAGTGTGTATTTCAGAAGTGAAATTCACAGCCACTTCCTCCAAAGCCTGCTGTGTGTGACTGACACAAGCAGAGATCAGTACCTGGAGATACATTACCTGTTCAATTTTTCTGCCTGCCATGGAGCCACTTCGATCTATAACAAAGATGACGTTTTTGGGAAATGCTGGCATTTCTTGGGGTGCAAAGTAATGCACAAAATACCCATTGACAATCTGAAATACAGAACGGGAAATCGCATATAAAATTTCATCTAAAGAACTAAATATTGAGTCTTCAGATTCTGGCATAACCAGACGGGGGATGCATGCTCAGCATTCTAACAGATAAGATTCTAGATAAACCCAAATCAAAGAACTATTAAAATACATTTCCTAGCTGGAAGCAAGATTATCTGTAGAAATCAGATTACAAAAGAACAGTGCATATATATATATGTATATATTATACACCTCTGCCGTACATATATCTGTATTATCACTGAGTATTATATTACCTCTTGATTATCACCTATGAGCACATCTCTGCTCATTGACTGTGACTGCCATCTTTTAGCACATCTGTGTATACTTATTTCGTTAGTGAAACGGTATGGAAAATAAGGTACTTTATTCCCCAGGATATGCATTGGTCCATAAATACTTTTAAGTTTCTGCTCTCTTTAGTTATGCCTCAGTTGGCACAAAAAATAAACCAAACAGTCATTTCAACAGTTATATAAATCATGTCCCTCTAAACTTCATTTATAAGAAGCTACAAATACACCTTACATCAGCCAAAATAATTAAAAAAGAATGTAGAGAGACATCTATAAAGTGTAGATTTGGTACTGAAACAAAACTTGAAAGAGTGATTTTCTTTTTTCCCACGGATGATCCATTCTTGCATTGTGTCTGGTGTATTTGGGGATTTACTGAGCATGGCTATTGGTTACTGCTGACCGTGGATTAATGGAAATAACTTTTCCTGTCACTCCTGGTGTTTCAAAGTAAATGTTGCTGGTTTTCTGATTGCATTTCACATTCAGATATATCTATGATCTGAAAATGTTTTTATTTTTATTGATTTTTCACCTGTATATCACCTGCAGTGGCATCTCTCTTAACATCGTAACGGACAACAAAATCACCATTGAGGAGGGTTTCATCGAATTCAGGATTTACCTTCTGTTGATCTACAGTTGGCTTAAATAAAATATGAGCCTGCAAAGCAATCAGAAAAAAAGATGTAAAGCAACATATCTTAAAGCTGCCACCGGCAGTAACATCTGGCAGTGGCTGCTTTACCTTGGTTTCATTCTGCAGTTTGGTGAGCGCCTTAGTTAACTCATTTGTCATGAATGTGCTGTCTGTCTCCAAGAAGCGTATGCCCTGGGGCTCGAAGATGTGCACATCAATCTGCCAGTGGAGAAGTCAGCATCAGCATCTCAGAGGGAACATGGCTGTGTCCAAAACCACCACACTGCTCCCTGCCCAGCCCTCGCTGGGGAAGCTCACCTGGAAGTGCTTAACAAGCTGCTTTGGTCGGACCTTGACGAGCAGCTCGAACTTCCCCAGCTGCCGCTTCAACAGCTCCTCATATGTCAGCTCAAAAGTGACTTTGCTGGCAGCTGCAATGCTGACGGACACGTGAAACTGCTCCAGCTTTCTGCCTGTGATTCTGCAGGGGGGAGAACAGATATTTACCTCCTGAGGGGAAGGTTTGCTTGTGGTGGCCAAAGTTTATGAATTGTGCTAAATAATGGCCAAGGGCCATGCGGGATAAATAAGAACAGAAGAGTAGCAGTAAATCTTACTCAGCATATGAAGACTTTTCACATTGCAGGCAGTACTGTATACATCACATATATTACAATAGCATGCCATGGCTGCTGCATATGCAAGCTGAGAAATAAAGCAAATTGGGATCAAGCAGAACTGGGAATGAACACATGGGAAGCACAAATTAAATGTACCCCAGAAGTCTGATGTCTGCTCAAGTACCATGGTCCCCTGTGCTTGCAGGGAAGCAGTCTCAATGACAGCATCATCCCAGACCAGCAAGGTGCTTCCAAATGACAACAAGTCCCAGAGGAACACTAAATAGTGGCACCTCCCACTGAAGCCCATTGCAGTACCAGATATAAACCATATACATGTGTGAACATATATATGTATACACACACACACAGAGTCCCAAATAGAAGTCAAGGCTGCTTTTCACATTTATCCCTATCACATTAAACCCTGGCTCCTGGGTTTCACCTGCCCCCAGCCAAACAAGAAGCCAAGGAAGAGCATTGGATCAACGTTACCCAGGGCAGCAACATACTTGACAAGGCCAGCGCTCTGCCCGTGTGAGACTGCAGTGTCATACTCCTTTTGAGCAGAAGCTTTCTCCTTTATTATTCCTGGGTATACTTTACCATCGATGGACCTGTTTGGTTGCCATAAAAAATAATTAATATTAGGAAAGCAACAAGAGGAATGCTGTATTTCATGGACCTCAGGGCATGAGCAGGGGGTACTGTTTGGTTTCCGCATCCCACCCCATTCAGAAGGATGCCAGAAGCCACCACCACAACACAGCCCTCCTCCTTGCAGGAGCTTGGGGAGGCTGGAGCAGGAGCAACATCACCACTGAGCATGTTTGTTACTCATACTGCGCAGCAGGCAGCCTTGCCCTCGCTACCTTGTAGAATCACAGAATAGTTAGGGTTGGAAAGGACTTCTATTTGGCTGTCTACTGCTTTGCCTCACAGAGTATTTTGTGCAGGATGCTCCAGAGCTCAGCTCATTGTGCTTTTCAGTCAGCACCCCCTGAGAAAAAAGATAAAAGCACCCCCAGTCCCCAGAGCTGCCTCCTTCACCCCACAGGTAAGGACTGGTCCTACATGGAGAAGTTGGTGATGAAGGCTGTCTTGGGTAACTCCACTTCAAAGGTGGCCTCTCTGGACTCATTAGCTCGGTTGACAATTTTGCTGGTGATGAGGGTGTGAGCGAATCGTGACGTGACCTTACAGTCCACATGGAGGCTGTAGATCTCAATAGCATGCTAGAAAAAAAGAAAATCAGGCTGAAACAGGAAGGCAGTTTTTGCTCCTAAGCAGCCCTTACCTGGGTGATGTTACTGGAAAAGTTTGATGAAGGAATGAACTGTTAGTAGGTCCAGCTGAAACTGGGGAGGGCAAATTGTTCATGACCAGACTGGCCATCTGCTCATTCACATCTCTGCAGCTGCAGCCATGCAAAATCTGTGTGTTGTTCCACAGAAGGCTTCTGTTGAGCCTTTTTCTGTGGTCTTCTCTCCTTGGGCTACTCTGAAGCAGCTGTTGTGTCACCACAATGCATTGCCTAAGATGAACCTCAGAAAAATCAGATGCCTCTAAGCACTCAACCCATGGAAAGAGACCTGCTAGCATTTTATGCAACTAATTATTTGCTCGCCCAGCTGTTGACTTTGCTGCATGTTTTCAGCTTGGTGTCTTATGTCACATACGATGTTTAGGAGGTTTGAAACCCTGTGTGGGCCTCCAACCTCCTGCTGGTTGCACAAGCAGGGATGCCCTTTGAGCGCTTGTGTTTCTCCTGGTCTGGTGCTTCGTGACGCTCCAAGAAGGGCACTGTCCTGAAGCTGCATGGAAACATCCCACAGGGAGGCTGCAGTGGGAACTGCCTGGAGCACCTGCCCCTGTAACCACTTTCCTTTTACATTTGGGATGTCTGCTTTAAGGGCCCTACCTGTGTTTCAGCAGTGACACGAAGAAGGGTTGATCTGGACATCACCAGCCTCATAGTAGTCCAACAGTTTATTAAAATAGAAAAGTTCAGCATCAAAACAGTTCATCACACTCCTATTTTTACTTTTCTAGCCTCAGAAATCTTTGACTAACTGATCTTTGGTTATTTTGCTTATGCACCTCCTGTACTCTGCTCACTAATTAATAGCATCCACAAGCATCTTCTCTAGGCAGTGGCTGAAATTGAGAGTTCAATCAGGCTGAACACGGCCAGTCAGCGCAAAGCTGTGACCACAGCTATGTACCTGGTCATCAGGGCAGGAGGGGACATAGCCGACGCCATGTGAATAATGGATGTCTGTTTCTTTTTTTATTTTACATTGCCAGAGTGAGCTCCATCTCCTCTTGCCTACTGACAATCCAGGACAATGGGATAAAACCCAAAAATATTAATTGAGAGAACAGTTTCTGGTCCTGGCAGTCTGGGTGCCTCTCCCAGCCCACCCCGAGCTGGAGTCCTCCCTGCCCTGGCTGGGGCTGTCTCTCACAGGAGTGTCCCTTCCCAAAGGCATTCTGAGCACCACTGCTCATGTTTGCTGCCCTGCCATACTCGAACCTGCCTGTGGGATGTTTGGAGGGGAGGTTTTGCTATGACTGAGGAGCCCCGAGCCCCGGGTTGTGGCTTAGTGGGGCAGCACAGGCATGTGGTGGCCATCATTGCCCACGAAGCATCCTTCCAGGACAGCAGGAGCTTGCCCTGGGTGAAAGTGACCTGTGCAAAATCTGTCCTGCTGCCATGTGCCAAAGGGATGCTGTGGGGACAAAGACCTGCACTTCCCCAGCCCCAGCAGCATTTTAGGCTGCAGCCACCACAAATGAGCACACAGTGGGGTGCTGTGCGGTGAGGGGCATCGCTGTGCCCTTAATGAAGTAGGCAGGAGAGGACCAGCTCCAGGTATGTACAGTGGGAAGGGGGAGTGCAATCTGTGAGCACTCCCCAAGGCACCACAGGCCCATGCACTTCATCCACGGCTTCTTGCAGAGCCCTCAGCCACCCCTGCAGCAGCCACAAGACCTGTCCCTGCCTCCCAGAAACCTGCCTGCATTTCATGCTTTCCTGAATAAGCACGACGGAAATACAACCCTTCCAACATAAGGCTTCCTCTGTTTCTCTAATACTGCTATTTTTTAAAAAAAGACCAGTTGCATGCACCCTGACATAATACAAAACACAGCTTGCTCCTTCAGACAGTACAAACAATTATCTACTCCCCTCTTTTCTGTTCCATACAAATTACTAAATGCCTGTCAGAAACCTGGCACTGCAACAGTCCTCATTTGGCCCTGCTGTAATAGCACTGCGTCAAGATCCAAACTTCATCTGGCAGCCCAGGGAGCCACCGATCCCTCAAATTTGATATTTTGAATCCCTGGGGACAAACATGATGAGACACAATCACCATGCAGATGTTCACTTGCCACATTTATATTACAACTGCCCAAACAATCAAAAAGGCCTTAAAAGGACCCAAAGCTCTGAAATCACACCACCATACACTCGGCGCTCCACAGGTAGCAGTTACCAGAGGAGTTTCCTGCATTAGCTGGCCAGCTACCACAATACCACTGCATCACCAAATGAGCAAACGAGATATTGTTAAAAAAATACAGTAAATACCTTTTGAGCAATAGTTTCTGCTAATACTATGAGTGAGGAAAAGACCATCAACGCCAGCAACGTTCTCTCCTCCATTTTGGAAAGACCAGATTTTCAAATGAAAACTTGGTTGGGCTTAATCAGTTAATGAGTAACTTGTACTTGGGGATATGATGTAGACTTTGAAGAGACCCAGAAACTTAATATTTACATGTTAAACATAGGTAAAACTTGGACTAGGTTAACGTTTATTTTTCCAACAGATCTTTGCTGTTAAACATTAGAATTTTAATGTTTCATAATGCATAAAGTTAAGAAATCCTTGCTTTCTTTTTAAACTTCAATCTCATTGTGGCATGTGAGATCCGAGGCAGATTGACTGGTCTGTGCAACAAGAGTCAGTTTTGAATGCATGAATCTCTACCACATCCAACAGTAACAATTTGAAAGGGCACATCCTTAATGTTACCTCAAACACTTTGGAGGTTTGGAGATTACTAATACATGCAACATTTATGTGAGATTTTACAGCTGGTGACTTCTTCAAACCTCATGCCTCGCTGCCCAACTGGCCTACCAGGGGTACAAAGTGGCTCTCATGAAACACCTTTTTTTGCCTCCTTTGACAAGTCATGATCCTTGTTTGTCAAATAGCAAAGTCAGTTGTGGCTTGTCTTCAGCTAAACAGTAAAAAGTAATTAGTCCTGGACTGCCTAAGTCAGGGCCTGTACGTACGTGTAGGTAAGTGTACAAAAGATGCAAACCACCCAAAACCAAGTGCAACAACAGCCATGCACAGGAGTACACCTGGCCTTGTCCAGCCCTACCACAGCTTCAGTGTATCCAGGCAGATATCCTACAAAGCTGCCTTTAACTCATGTGCTCAGCGAGGCTGTTTGCATGAATGATTAGTGCTGGGAGAGCTCTGCACCTGAATTTACATGGAAATTGAATGGGATTACTCTTTTCATCCCCTATTTTATAATGAAATCTTCATCCAATAGGGACCTGGAGCAGTTCCTGTGAAGTTTTTGTTTGTCAAGGCTTGGCTCGTAGCCCTAGAAAAAGAAATTATCTTACAAGTCCAATTTGGTACACAAATAATTACGGACTGTGTTATATTAACAATTCCTAAAATACATGCTCACTCACATGGTGTTTAGGTAGTCTCCTACACAGGATAGCTTATGTGACTACTAAGAAGATACTTCACCCAAACAGTTGTAATGCCTGAGTAGCTTATGTGACTACTAAGAAGATACTTCACCCAAACAGTTGTAATGCCTGAGTATTCTACAAAGCATTTTAAACACATTGTGGGGAAATAATTGGGTTTTTAGGCAGTGGGGAAAACAGACCCTGGGCAGAACCCGTTTCAAAAGTTCATCTCAGCTCTACAACTGGGAAAATCAAACTGAGAAATGGGGGCCAGGGAGAAAACCGTCACAAGCCATTCCTGCACCGCATGTCTGGGACTTGCTTGTTTCATTGGAAAGCTTTCATCAGGCTTCATTTGTTCATTCAGTCCCAGTGCAAGAAAACATAATGTTTGAAACATTGCAAGTATCAAGAGGACAGGAAAACAACATCCCCCAGGGCTGTAGGTTGAGAGGATCCTGTATGTATTTATATGAACACACATATATAGGTACCTAAAGGTGCAACCAGCCAGTGCTGTGGAAAGATGCAACCTGGAAAGACCCTTTCTCCCCTCAGCCCTGAGCAGATGAAGGCTGAATCCTGCCCTTCCACCATGATTTCCCTACCTGTCTGCCCTGTGCTGGCAGCTCTGGGATAGTAGACAGTCATTTCTCAGCTACACCTGTGGTTTGTCCACATAAAACCACTTCATATTGCTTGGGTTGGAAAGGACCTTAAGATCACCTAGCTCCTTTCTGGCTGTATTTCCCCCCTTATAACTCCATGGTAGATAATGCCATTAATTGTCCTAAATAAACACAAAGATCCTGTGGAAATACATGCATTGTGTTTGATTTATTGCTATTTTACAGACAAAGTGCCCAGGTGGAGAGCATGCGTCTAGTGGCCTCAGATTTGCAAGGAGATGCTAATTCAGGGCTCAATAATTCATTAGTTTGTCAGTCATTTACAAGTTCACCATAAAGAGTCTGCTGAACACAGCCTGGTCTTACAAGGCTTGTGCTTTAAGTCATTTTTAAAAAAATAAACATTGCTTCTTCCAGGCAGACTGTTCATGTGCAAATGCTGCAGTGCTTAGAGCAGGACATGTAAATAGGTATATTTTAACAGAGAAAAATTAAAACTGCTCTACATTTGATCAATTTCTACAACTGTAATGCTTTAATCCCTTAAACCACACTGGATTATATACTTAGTGGCCTAAAATCCCCAAGAGCCAAAGCTTTAATTAAGTGGATCTGTCATTGGTTTTTTAATACCCACATGTAAAATCACATGGATGTTAAAGAGCTGCTTTAACTGCACAGTTTTAGGCTGCGTGGTCAGCTCTGCCCTGCTTGTGAGTTCACGGAGCCGGCCAGCACTCAGGGAAAGCTGTGAAATCTCTCCTGCATCCCTTTGAGGCTTGCTGAAGCAGCTACAGGAAAATCCTTGTGCTCAGCCTTGTCCCCAGGCTCGAGCCCCTTGTTCCTGTACAAGCCACCACAAACAGCCATCCTCACTGATGTCCAGAGCCCACTGCTGCTTGTACATTGGGCACCAGTCCCATGGCACACGGTGCTTCTTACTGAAGAGAATGAACATGCTCTGAAATAACTTCAGATCCCCTTGGAGGAAGGATATAAATCCACCACGGCAAGGAGAGATTCCTTTGAGTGCAAAATTACTTAAAAACTCAGACTCTGGGGCTTTGTTCAGATACTTCTCTGACACTGATTTTTGTTAAAAAAACAAAGGGGAAAAAATGAAGAAAACACATTTTCCACGTTTGGACTTACTAGATTTGCAAGGCTGAAGAAAAAGAGCAGCTTTATATTTGCTCCTCTCACCCAGAACCATCTCCTATCATGACAAAATAGCCAGTAACTTCCAGTGCAGCGACAAGCTTGAGGACATGGGGGATTCCTGCAATTCATACAGGAGAGCATAGACTTGTCTGTCACAACTGGGGAATCGACTTTGTCCCAGGGATACACTTTTACCTCCAATGCATATTTTTTAGATGAGTTCCACATTAAAAGACAGAAAAACAAAATAAAATCCTGAGCACTTACTATCACACAGGGAAGCATCACAAATTACTGAACCTGAGGACATCCTGGAAATAAAGCTGTTCACAAAATCCCAAGTTCCTGGTAGATAACTTCCTTTGCTTCCCTGCTGCATCCATGGTATGAGACTGTGGGACACAGGTTTCTGCCCTTTGCTAAATCAGCACCAACATACCCAAAGCCAGGTCTGAAATACAGCACCCCCCTCTCCTGCTAACCAGTCTAGCAAATTTACAATATCCAGTCACTTGTATCCTACAGAAGAAAGCAATAAAGCATTTTACCCCACTTAGCCCTCTCCATCATTTTTCTAATTATTAAACAACCTCCTTCCAACTTCTCATCACAGATTAATTAAGCAGCCTTTGTTAAACCTGAAGCAGGGACTTTTTTTTCCACTGCATTTTACCTTCTCAGCTCAAGAAGCTCAAGAGGAAAACACTGTGCTGAGTTACCTGTGAGGCGCCCAGACCCCATGGAGCAACAGTGTCCAGCAGAGAGAGGAGGCAGGGTCTTGGCTACAAATAATAATCTTTGAAATGGAAAAACTGGGGCAAGGCAATAGGCCAGCAATATCTTTATATTTTTAAGGAAACCTCCCTCTTAAACCCAGAGGATTTACTGCTTCCTTAAGCAAGGCCCACTACACAGTCTCTCTGGGAGCTTCATGGACATTGGTGTGTTTTATCCATCAAGTGTTTGGGACACAAAAGACAAATACAATATACTTCACAGTGCACAGAGACTTTTGATCTCAGTTTTACCTCTTAATCAGGTGTAGTCTGCACAAACTTAAAGTAATCCTTTGAATAAAGTGGCACGTACCTTACCAGCCCCAATGTGCTGCCAGGGACTCGGGGTGTGTGAGAAGCACGCCAGGTGCCAAGAAAGCAGAGGATCATCCATGTCCGAGCACAAAGATCCAGCTGAGGGAAAATACTCCAGTTTATAACCTCGGAGAAAAGCAGGTCTGATGTTTAACGCAGCAAATCAAGGTGTAAACAGTTGAAGAGACCAGCTTCCACTCAGAGCGTGCTGGCTGCAGTAGGCACCCAGCGGGTCGCTCGGCTCCTGTCAGGCAGGACATGGCGCCGGTGCTGCTGGTCTGTCAGCCCACTTCTCACTTGATCCAACGGGACCCGAGGGAAAAGCCTTTGGGAACTGCTGAACACCCACCGGGCACACAGAGAGCAGAGCCGTGCGTGCGGAAATCAGGGCGCCGCTGCCATGAGGGGGAGCCGTGAGAGAAGGCGGGAGGGAAAGGCCCTGAGGGGAGCCACCGCCCCGCGGCGTGCCCGGGCCCGGGGGCACCAGCTGCGTCCACCACAGGCGCGGGTTAAGTCTCCAGTTTCCGCGATGCCCCTTTAAGCAGCTCCTCTTCAGCTCCTCCTTGGCATGGGCACAGTGTGAAGTTCTTGCACTGACCCTGTGCGCCTGGATGCTTAGTTTTTGTGTTTGATAGACCAGATCATGGCCAGCAATGCCAAAGTGTCCACACCAGTAAAATAAGCCTAAAGTGAAATTAGTCACCACAGCGTGCCAAGTTGTGTCCAACAACTTTTTTTATTAAACCATTATAGCAAACACCGCTTAACACATAGAAAGAAAGCACATAATAAAAATTAATATGGAAGGTGTAGTGTTTGGCATGAATCTATTCCCTAGTTAATGACTTAGAGTAGAAATTAGCTACTTAGATCTACAGTGACTTTAGTGTGAGGGGCAGAAATGTGGGAAAATGTTACAACAATCATCTGGGTGAGACACATCCAGCTCCACCATCAGCCAAAGACGCTCTTGGCCGGCTCTTCTTTTGGTTTCTCAAAGACTGTTTCACCCCCTGTTCGATCCCGGCTGAATATGGAAGGTGCTGCAGAGCCCATT